ACCTTTTCTTGTGAAATGTTCTAGTCATCATCCAGGTTTAGGTCAGTCTCTGTTTGATTCATGGAATGGTATTCATATATTTGCCTCTATAATCTATGGGTATACAATTATACCTGTGGGATTTCTCCCTCCACCAATGGTAGAAAATCTTTCTGAAGCACTAGCAGCATTGCAAGCACCAAATAATACACACTGACAGATGGATGGCATGAAAAAGAAGGGGAGGATTTAAGTATTGCTTTCGTTAGAGTTTCCTCACAGAATACAAAAAATACATCAGAGGAGCTGGATTAGACCAAAGGCCCCCTTGGTTTACTGTCCTGTTGCAAGAATGGCTGGGCAGATGCTGAATTTGTCTGATCACCTTTAAATCATTCTTGGCCACCTACAGTGATAAGTAAGCTAAACCCCTCAAGTCAACAAGCAGCTGAATTGTAGCTGAGAATCACTGCAGCCTTTATTTTGGGGTATTTCTGCATGACTACCATTTCCAATTATTCAACTAAAAGCAATTTGCCATTGCCTTTCTTGCTCTCAGCACCAACATGCAGGGAACTTGCTAAGGTAACCATAAGCCGATCATGTCACCCCTAACTGATCAACAGCAGAGCACAGAAAATGCCATCCCACAAGTGGCCTGCTTCCTGAACTAATGCAGATCCTAGAGGAACAAAAATCCTCTCACTTCTGCTCAGTGCAGAAAGGATAAATGATAGTGCTAGTTCCCAGCCCACTAACCTTGTCTGCAGTGCATCTGGTGTGCACATGTGCAGTCATTTGTGAAAATATACAAACTTTTGGCACAAGGAAAAATGTCCTGGCTGTGAAGCTGCCTTGTTTCATTCAGTCAGTTCCCATTGACTGCTGCAAGGTAGACGTAACACTCTGACAGAAGGGTTTCAACTGCGGGCTTCCTTCACAGAAGCTCAGGGTCTCATTCCTGGAGCCTGAAGGATGAATTTGGGGGTTGCTGCTGCCAAAGCAAGGTAAGATTCCTCACAGTGTGGTTGACCTTCACACCAGCCCTTCTTCCTTCCAGAGATCTTTACTGGTAATGCAATGGAAGGTGAGATGTGGCTGCTGGTGGTGGGTGCTGCATGTTTATGTTGTTAACAGGAGCTAGGAGGAAGTGGGATGAAACAGCAGTTCCTTCCAATGAGAAAACAGGATTCCCAGAACAGCAATTAAAACCAGCTTCAGTGAAGTTTCAGGTGCCTGAGCTATCAAAATACTGTCTCAAGTCTCAAGCAACGTGAGGTTATGAGGTCAAACAAGTTAGACACCAATCTTGAACAAGCAGGAAGTTGTGGTACAGTGGACTTCCTTATTAGCATTATGCACTAATTGCATGCCTCATATGACAAATGAGAATTATGTAAATTACATGACTATCTTTCACTGAGACATTTGTGGATATTATCCCTGGCCAGTAGTACATTTAGTTCATTGTTCAATTGATTCTTTTCCCACTGTCATTTGGAATATTAATTTTTATAGCTTGGACAATACTTTAAAGGACCATTATAACCACAAACAGCTTCACAGCTACAGTAAATATGAGACTTTGAATTAACCATTTGTTGGAATAACTAATTTTTATGTTGCCTTTCTGATCCAAGTAATTTCATTTTGAAATCCTAAGGGGAAAAAATAAGTCTAAAACTGAAGTTCTATTATTATGCAGTCCAATATTTTACATGAGGAAATAAAGCTAATATGATGAAGTTGAGGCTCAGTCTGCCTAGTCTTTATGATGAAGCATAGAGAGAAACATGCCTTAACACTGGCCCAATGATGTTCTGATTATAGCATGGAGTAATTTGCAACGTAATTGGTTTGATTTATTTACTTAATTACTGAGTTTTTAAAATTTCCACCTCATGACTACTAAGTGTGACATTGTTTAAAAGAAACCACATAGATAATGAGCTGCATTTGCATGAAATGTAGCAGGAAACTTTCCATTCAAAAAGCTACCATTCATAAAAACTTGTCTAAATAACATAGGTCCTGTATTGCAATGGAAGACAAGTTGGTTCTAGGGTCTGGCTCTGCGACTCCATTACTATAATGCCTACAATCAAATCCAGATCTTGTGAACTTCACTGGAGCCAGCCAAAGAGTGTTGCAGTAGAATGAGGAGTCTGACCTGTCAGGCCCTCCTCTACAATCAAGAGATGGAATTTACACAGGCAACTCTTAAGGAGTTGTAGGCGGGAGACACAAATGTGCCATCTTTGGGTCAGAGTTTCATGGCTCCTGCTGGCAAGTTCTGTACATAGGTAGGAGGGAGTGATAACTATTGAGAAGAATGGGAGCTGCTGCTGATTGTAGGATTTAACAGCCTAAGAACCTGGAAGAATCAGTGATTTAGGCATCTGGACTACAACATATATAGATTACACACTAGATCCCATACTGTGCCTTTCAGCCAATAAATAATACACATATTGGCTATGAGGCTATGGCAGATTATAATACACGTAAGTCAGGCAACTAGAAGACACAAGGTAGCTACAGAAGATAAAGCAATTATTTTCAAACTATTTCTGATTTTTAAGACTACTTGTACTCTTTTCTCTTTTAAAATGAAACCATATCTAAAACTTACATTTTAACAATCTTTCCTTCTTCAGCACTTGCAAAAGCAAACTCATTGTCCTGGAAGGATCATGTTAACTATTAAAGTTTTAAGGAAGAATTAGAAGGCTGCAGGAGTGTTACATTTTTAAAATCAAGGTTTGAAGCTAGCCATGGATGTCTGCAAGGGATAGGGCATGTGATGGAGTGTGTATTGTGACATTCTGATGTAACTCCACTCCAATGTTGTTGTGTACAACACTGCAACGCATGTGGGAAAAAATGGAGGTTGTATCATGTTATCATAATGCTTTTTTTTGTCATTTTGGTATCATCATAGTTAGGAATGCAGGCCTTTAGAGCTATGATTTTGTTTGCCTAACTGAAAATCTGGCTCTCTTCAAAAGAGACTCAATCTCTTTTCATATTAAATAGGAAGAAGGAAAAAAAGGGGAACAATCAAGTGCTCACTTAAGTAGAGAAATTGTTGACTATTTCATAATTTTTCTATGCATACCTGAAAAGTATGTGGAGCTCAGTTTGAGAATTTTGGGGCTAAGGGTATCCAACAAGCTGCACCTTGTTATCTGAAGAAAAGTAAATTGCTTATCTGAAGAAAAATAAATTTCCTTATAAAGTTAGAAAGCTTATTTTGGGAGCAGAAGTTCAAATACTTCTGTAAATGTCATCAATATCTGAGATTGCTAATTTGAGAATACCAGCAAGCAACTATTCTAGGTTGATCATGGGAAGAACAATTAGATTTTATATTATGTGTTTTCCAGATTTGCATTGGACAAAGGATTTTGGGTTGCAAGATTTCATGGTTTGGTTCTTTGCTAGTTGCTTAGGTTCTTTGTGCTCACAGCTATAGGTGTCATAACAGTTGGCTCTGTAACATCTGCCCTGGATACTTGTGGTGTGTGCCATGCAGCGTCCTACCTTGATCCTCAGTAAAATCATTCGGTTGTTGCTGATACTCACACGAGATATGTGTTATGTTCTTTGTTGAATACTGAAAGCAGGAGGACATGGTATTATAGAGCATATCGAATGAATGAATAAAGTGATCTCCTATTTAAAAATATCAGCTTTTACCTCCATCAGCTGTTAAGTAAGAAAGCCCAAAGGCTACCTCTTGCAAGTGTTTCTTAACATGCTTCTTTACATTTCTGAAAACGATCCTTGTCTTGTTCCACTCCTTAAACTGTGTCGATTCAAAAAGTTAAGTACAGGTAGTCCTCAACTTACGACTGCAATAGGGAACAGAACATTCATTGTTAAGTGGTGCAGTCATTAAGTGAGGCATTATATGACCGCATCAGATTTTACGACATTTTTTGCAGCAGTCGTTAAGCGAATCATGCAGTCCTTAAGTGAATCACATGGTTCCCCATTGATTTTGCTTGTCAGAAACCAGCTGGGAAGGTTGCGAATGGTGATCACGTGACCATGGGACGCTGCAACTGTCATACATACATGGCAGTTGCCAAGCACACAAATTTTGATCATGTGACTGCGGGGATGCTGTGATGGTCGTAAATGTGAGGACCAATCATAAGTTACTTTTTTCAGTGCTGTCATAACTTCAAACAGTCACTAAACAAATGGTTGTAAGTTGAGAATTACCTGTACAAAGTTTATTTCTATATTGATTCTGTGTTCTTCTACCTTTATTCTCTGGTTTGAAATTAATAAATAGCAGATTGCATACACTAAGATAATTGATTTCTCCTAAAACTGCATTCCAAATATATTAAGATAGGACAATGAAGACTTTTTCCCCCCCTATTCTTGTGCCTTTCACTGCTACAATTTCATTCTAAATAATAATAATTACAGCAATGAAAGGAACCAACTATTTTTCTTTAAATCAGCATGTAGAAGCCAAAGGTAAAAAATAAATGGGTAAATGCTGGGAGTTTACTTACAGATTCGGCTGAGAATATAACAGCCATAAGCACCCTTAATTTGTTTAAACTCTTGTTTAGTGTTTCTTCTTTGTGCTAGAGCAAAAATTCTCAATTACAGTCTCACATTAGTCTTTACTGGTGAGCTCAAGTCAGTCCTCTGTGCCTTCCCCCTTCACCTCCGTGGTTCCCTTCATATTGTGCTCCTTTTCCTGTAAGAGCCAACATCCAAGGTTGGTACTTCAATATTATTCCTGTGAATAATTGTTGCACTGGTGAATGAAGTTCCAAAGGTTGATTTTCACTTTGTTTTGGCAATTCCAGAGTCATCTTTCATATATGGATATAGTATATATATATTTATATTATTATTCATTTTACATTTTAAATTATTTTATTTTGCTGGTCACTTCCGTATTGCTTCATTCAGATTCCAGAATACAGTTCGGAGGAGAAAATAAAAGAGAATGAAAAAGAAAAGTTTAAGTGCAAACTAATTTTCCAGTGATTTCCCAAGTGTGTTTTACCTGTCCATTACTTTTTCTTTTTCCATTTTCCCTCCTGACCCTGCCTTAAAAAAAAGTGTTTAAAAATCCAGTGTTACTCTTCCTTCTAGTGTTATATAATGCTCTCAGCTTTAGCTGACAAAGAAATGGAAGGGAGAATTATTACATGTTGCATTCAATGTGTATAAAACATGAACAGGAGGCTCTGTTTATATAAATTTTCATTGGCACTGTGCCCTCAAAAAAACCAAGCTATTTTATTTCCCTATATATATTTTAAATCTGTGTCCTGATACCATTTTTGACTTGTAGCCACCTGTAACTTCGTGCACCAGAACATGAAGGAATGAGGTCTCTGCCTTGGAAAAGAGCTCACAACTGCAGAAGTAGAGAGAGGAACTAGCCAGAAGCAAGCTGGATTAGCCATTTTGATTCGGGGGCAGAATAAAAAAAAGGTTAAAGAAATTGGCCTTTCAGACTCAGTCATTAGGTCATCACCTATGGTATAAAAATTGTCTTTTTCTACCCTCCCTCTTGAAACCGCCCTGCTTCTGCAGGAATGCTTCAGCGGCTCTGGCCCTTCCTGCTGACCGAAACTGACACAGGGTGACTTTCTTGGCAGCTCCAGAACTGGATCGCTACACAGAACACCAGCCTGACGGCAGGCAACCATGCCACAGGCTCTTCCTAGCAGGCCTTGGCTGGTCTGACCTTTTCTTCCTTGGGCTTCTTGGAAAGGGAGAAAAGCCAGACTTTGCTTCTTCCTAAATTCCTGGAACCACTGACTTAAATGAGTCCCTTCTCTTTGCGGACATCAAACGGAGGGAAGATTTGGCAAGATAAAGTAAGAAAAGAGGGGAGGAAAAAAGAGGGGAGGAGGAAGGAGAGGAGGAGAGTGCTGGTATGGATTCCCCATTTCTCCCTGGCATTACACTACGGTGTTTCGGTGTCTGTAGGGTGGCGGGGGCAGCATCATGCCAGGCTTCAGGGAGAACTCTGAGAGGTATTCGGGATTCTCAGCCACAATGGGCCGGATCCTTCCATTTTGTTTGTAAAAATATTTTGTGCTGTATTCCTGCAGGTAGTCCGGATGCTGTAGGGTACTTCGTGGAGGCAGGCTGTGATTCCAATAACCTGGGTTATCAAATGCCTTCTTGGGCTTTTCTGGCAATGGAAGCCCATTTTTCTTCAGATACTCTGCATTCTCAAAGGTGCTTGCAAAGGTGTTGAGGTACAAGGGGTCATTTACATATTCATCCTCGGCTTTGGACTGCCCGGTTTGGTGGTTGTGATAATCCGGGTTGTCCAATGCTTGAAGATCACCATTCTTCCACCGAGAAACAAATGGGTTCTCCTCCACTGGAATCAGGTGATCTAGAAAAGAGGAAAGAGATCTTAACTGAAATTAAAATAACAATTTCTACTACTGTCTGTACATTAAGGAAACATAACATTAGTATATAGAGTTGGGAAATGGCTTATAAGAATATATATACTAGGAAAAATGTGTACAAACGTGTATCTGAGTGGAAAGACACACAAAACTCCATACATCTGAAACACAAATTTGGAAGTGATTATGGAAATGACTAAAATGAACTTAAGGGTAGGAACTGAGCCCAAATGAAATGGACAAAATTGCCCATCCCTGTCAGCCTGTCCATACTTAATGGAGGCATTTCTCTGAGACCTTTTCTCATGAGGTTAAAAACTTCTCTGATCAAGCACTGCAGCTATGGAATATTCTACTCCTTCTAGCACCTAGCATTTTTGGCACATGTTTTATCTAATGCTGGTTTTCTCAGCAGTGTTGCATTACTGTATGCCTCTATGTTTTTTATATTTATATTTAGTGTACCACATCTTCACAACCATAAGGTACTTTCTTGCTAACATGACTTTCAGCTGAGATAAACTGTCACATTTCATGTGAGTGAAAACAAGCTGCTCAACAGGAATAGGCGAATATGGAATCAAGGAGTTGGGTTGTTATTACTTGGTCTGCAGAAACATGCAATTTGGCTTCAAGAAAATCTATATATTTTACCAACTTTAAATCAAAAGGAAAGTAAGATTGGGCAACTTCTCAATTTCTTTTGCAGAATCATGGAATATTTCTGCTGGAAAAAAAGGCTAAGAAGTATTTTAATTATTACTTTCTTATTCTGTGATACTGTTTTTAAAATAAGCTTCACCCAACCTTACCCATAGGGTAGCTCAAAAATGGCACCCTATGGATGCTAGATTGTAAGACTGCATGTTCATTTTCAAGTGAGCTGAGTTCAGTCTCCTGACAGCTTTCCACACATGCCCCAATACACTAGAATCAATAATGCCAAAAATGTTTGTTTACACTGCCTTACTAACTCTTAAGGAAACAAAGCAATTGTATCCAAAATGTTGTCTAGCACACTATGAGGATGACAGAAAGGATTTTTTAAAATATTCAAGATTGAGAGAAAATAATAGTTTTGAACCAATGCTTAATTGATTCATTCTTGGACATCAATGTTGATTTTAACAACATGGAAAAGATCAAAATACCAAAACCATCTTGCTTTTTAAAACTTTCTTTGTACTTCAACATTTAACAATAAACATATAGATTAAACTAAAAACAACAGAAGATATGCAAGGAAGTCAAGTCATTCTTGTGGAATTCCATAAAAGTGGAGAGTGGGGAAACAGTGGTGTGGTATTTTAGCTCTGGTCACCTGAGCTGATCAATTTTTCAGGATTCGCTGTTGTTCTCTATGAACCAGTGCGTTTCATAAAAGCCCGTGGACTGCAGGATGAATGATATTGGTTTTAATTACTTACAGTGCCAAACAGGATCACCTCTTCCTGGGAAGAGACAATGACTATAACAGGGATATGTTTTCTTCTCCATATTATATGGTTGGGTACATTAATGGCAGCAGGAAGCTAGTGATGCGTTTCCTCCTAGCCAATGATCATGTTGTTCACTTGGATCATGGGAAAAGCAAAAACCCTTTACTGAAAGTAACCTCTCTTCTTTAGCTAAGCTTGCAGTGTAATTGATAGGTTCAGCCTCCTCTCAATGCCACAAATAATCTGCCAAAAGGGTGACGTGCTACAAACTTTTCCATCTAACTTTAAAAGCCTATGTAGAGAAACAAGATTCTTTTTTGTTATGCTAGTTGCACGAGCCAGGCATGTACAGTAGGTGTACCCTTTAGCTTTAGAGGTTGAATTGGTCTGACTGATACTGAAAATAATGCAAACAACCCAGTACTGAACAAGAACCATGTGAATATAGGTCACAAAGAGAGTGGTCTTTTTCCACTTCCTAAGTCCTCCCAGGTGGCACTGCTGCACCAAGGGGACCTAGAGTCTGCCCACCCTGTAAGTTCTGGTAGGAGGGACATAAACCACTGGGGATAAGTAGTTGCAGAAGGAACCAGGCACAATGCCCCGTAGGGCTTCAAAGGTGACAAACAGCATCTTGATGGTTTGTTGTTGTTATTGTTGCTGTATGCTTGCTTGCTTGCCTATATGTATGAATGGGTGAACTGGCACATGAAGGCACGTGTAGTCCAATCCTCAGCCTGGCAACCAATGGCTCTTTGGACAGAAAGGATGACATCTCCCTGCCTTGCAATGGTCTTTCATCCTAGTAAATCTTATGGAGCTGTAATGGTGCCACTTAGCAGATCAGCTTGGAGGAAGGCATGGGATAAAGGTAGGAAAGCCAGCTGATCTAAGCCATTCTTTTCTAGGATTCATTTTATCTGTATACAGCTCCAACCAGAATAGATTTTGAACAGTGATCACAGAGTCTTTTCCAAACTGGGGGGAAAATGGTTATTACTATGTGAGAGATATACCTGTTTTGCACTTTTCTGGCATTGGAGTCATATATCCCTCTTCATCCAGCTCAGTTCTTGGCCCTCGCTCTGGGATAAAAACCGTTGGGTCAGCGCTATACCTCTGAGTGAGACTGTCATCTTGTGAAAGACTTGCCACTGGTTTCCGTAAAGTGCCATTGCAGCAAGTGTCATCACAGATCTCAGCAGCTCCTTGCCTGACGGGAGCTTCTGGAGCTATGCCTGGTATGGCAGTTCGGTATGGCAAAGGAACTCCTCGTTCCGTAGACAAACTTCCATCTCTGTAGATAAACTGATTCTATAAGAAACACAGAAGGTTTTTAATGTGAAAAACTGCATAATTAACATTAGAGCTTAGTTTCATGCATATAAGGTTTTCAGTTATTTGCTCAACATATCACTTTTCTATGCAGGATTTTTGTTTTTAGTATGTTGTTTGCAGTAACTGTTCCAGTCAACATTACACAGATTTTTTGTTTTGTTGTTTGATTCCACAAGCATTGGCTAAAGAAACTGAGTGGATTCCACATGCATAGGCTTGCTTTATTGCTGGATTCAACTTAAATTACATTGGCTTAAAGTAATTTAAGATGCTTAGTTTATACTTTTCAAATATTACAGTTCAAGAACTGAAATTTGGTGCATTTTGCCTGGATTTCAAATTAGGTACAAATAATCTGCCAACCCAAAGAAGAGCTCATCCCTAATCCATCAATATTTTATCTACAACTGCCAAATCTGAAGTCTTCATTAAATATAAATAAATCAGGATCAGATTTGATTTAACATCTTTCCAAAATCTGCTGATCTCAATGTGATTTCTGTATCTTTTTTCTTAACCTTAGCATTTCAATATATTGCCTTCTGTGCACAACACACTTCCAGGGTCAGCAGCATGCAAGTCACCTCCCATCCTCCAAAACCTAGCCTGAGAAATTGTGCTACTTTCAGTAGTAGTAGCCAATTCATTTTGCAATTTCTAGAATTTCTCAGATGTTTCTGCCAAGCTAAACCTCAAAATTTCACATAACACAAAGTGTTATGTAAAAAATGTCCTCATTCTGGAGAATAGCTGGTCTGCAGAAAGATTCCTTCAGTCACCTCTGCAGCAGAGAGATAAGGGCTTTGCCCACCCTACTGATCCTCTGTAGGGGATCTGGGGAGAGAGGGGAAACTACTGTGGGCAGAAGGGATTCGGAAGCAGAGTACAAGTGACTTTAGAGCAAGGGATACTCATATATCACCCAGATGCCCACACCTTCTGCCTTTCAATCTGAACTGGTATAACAATACTGTATCAAGTTTGTATAATTTTGTATCTGGAAGTTCATCCACCACTTACTGGACAGTTACCTGGGTACAAATAAACCTGTTGTAAATATTAGCCACTGAGAATCATTTTATTTCCTATTAAATTATCAGATCCTTCATATGCAAAAACATTTTTATATGTGCATCCAAATTTTGCTTCAAACAAAACTCTGGGACAAAAACTGGGGCAAAAACACTCTAGTCCTTTCCCCCTCTTTGAATTATTTCATTAGTTTTAACAACAATAACATAGTTGTATAATAGTATGCTGATCCAGTTATGTATGTTACTACAGATAGTACTCGACTTATGACCACAATTGGGACCAGAATTTCCATCACTAAGTTATGCAGTCATTAAGTGAGTTGCGGCCAATTTTATGACTTTTTTGCCGCAATCATTAAGCAAATCACCATGGTTATTAAGTGAATCTGGCTTCCTCAATGACTTTGCTTGTCGGAAGCCCCCTGGGAAGGTCACAGATGGCAATCACATGACTCCGGGATGCTGCAATCATCGTAAATACATGCTGGTTGCCAAGCACCCAAATTTTGATCACGTGATCACAGGGATGCTGCGATAGTTATAAGTGCAAGGACTGGTTGTAAGTCACTTTTTTCACACTGTCATAACTTCAAACAGTTGTTAAATGAATGGTTGTAAGTCGAGGACTACTTGTACTTAACTGGACTGGTCTAAATTATGAAGAACGTGCAAGAATGGCACAGAGACAGACATAGTGGAGACTCATGGTCATCAGTCTCCTGGAAGGAGAAAACCCTTGAACAGAACAGAATAATAGTAGTAGTAGTAGTAGTAGTAGTAATAATAATAATATAATGAAATTATGTATGCCAGTTCTTGAGCTGATATGCATTTCTCCGTATTTCAGGAGCAGGACTAAAGAGTGAGGGGGTTTTGAAACCTTTGAAGACTATCAAATCTCTCCCAGTCCTCCTCTGTACCACATGACATTGGAGTTCTGATGTCAGCAGGCAAGAACTGCAGAGATTCCTGTAGGAACTGGGAGAGGGAGGGGGAGATTTGGGATTAGATGGTCACCTGTGAGAGCAGACCTCTTCCTCTCTTCTTGAAGAGGAGATCTGAACTATCCAATGGACCCCAAGATATATTCCATATCACCATAAGATGATTGTTTAGAGTACAGAATTTAACATAGTTATTTAAAAATATACAATTGAACAAGTATTTTCCTATATTGTTCCAGGAATGAACTTTATTGACTTGGTTAGTATTTTTCATAAAATAAGAGGAAAGGAGAATGTTCTGGCAGTAGAACCTTTCAGAGCTAATCTTCTAAAGAAATTACCATAGATATAATTAATTTCCATTCAGTAACCTTACACTGCACTTGATGTGGATGTGTGTGTGTGTGTATGCGTGTATTGTTCTTTGAAAACATATAAACATATTAAAATTATTATTTCCCTTCAGGTTTGATTTTTATATTTGCCTACAACCTATATCAACTCCACAGTTCTTCTGAATTTAATTGTGACCATTTTTGGTTGTTGTTTATTAGATTTTTGTTTTCCTAGGTTTACCAGGTATCACAACAGCTAATTGTCCCTCCAGTTCTATTATCTAGTTCCTTCTTTTCAGGGAAGATTTAAACTTATGAAGGTGCCTTTAATACATAAAGCTATTCCAGCATCATAAAATCAACCTGAACTGGAACAGGCACATCCATCCTAGCTTCATAAAATATGCAGGCCAAAGATAACACTTGAATCTCTCAATTTCTTTTAGAATCAAGAGCGACCTTATAGACTTTTAGTGCTCCCTTACCTTTAAGTTGTAACTGAACATTGTCCAGAGAACACCATCCAGCAAAATAAAGTAAGAACTTATTCTAAGGCAGATACTAATCACCAGTAACCTCTGATTCTGTCATGTTTAAGGTCTTAGGATTTTCTGTTAGAGTTACCAAAACTTGTATTATTCAGCTGGACTCAGCAGCAAAATATGATCAGCTCTCACCTACCCTTGGGGAATGAGAGAGTAGATGGGATGGTGGAATTCATGAAGAGAAGAGAAAGAAGAAGGTAGGATACATTTGAAAAGACAAACAAATCCTAAAGGATGAAGGTTGATTGTGAAATACTTACTCCTGACATAGGGGTGTAGGCAGGAGGAGGGCTGTGTCCAATTTCACTCTAATAGGAAAGAAAAATGGAATGACCAATATAGTAAGAAGTTACATGGATGAAAATAAGTCATATGAATTCTGTGAATTGATGGAAGAACCATGCACAAATTAGAGAGATTTATTCAAACACCAGCCAAATTCACCCCTCCTTGCTCAGCACATTTCCAAAGGCAGTTTTGTGTGAGCTCAAGGTGTGGAGGATTTGACTGCAGAATGATTAGGAAAAGTCTGAAAAGAGGTGTAGGATTTTTTTTTTTTGCACAAGAGAATGATAAGCATGCAGCAGGTCAGCTGTCCCTCTAAAATCAAGATTCAAATGGAATGCACTAGTATTACTCACCTGGTCTAAAAGGAAGGGAAAGGATATATTGCTTAACAATGAAGAAAACACAGAGGTTTCACCTGGATAATACCATAATTATACAATGATAATTTTCTGTAGTCTGGCTAACAGACAGCAGATAAAAACAGATACCTGACTCTATGACAGGTTTTCAATGACTGAAAAATTAATGTGCTCATAGCCCAACAATACAGAAGGTAAGTCTCCATTGACTGATGCTGCTTCTCTTTCTAGGTTTTTCTTCAGGAAATCTAGCAATAGATGCAGATTTTTGTTTCTCTGATATCCCCACAATATCAGTATCTTGAATGAGGCATTGTATGCATGCTTCTTTGTAAGAGGAGTTTGGAAAGCAGTATGATTTGCATAAACACAACATGGCACGAGTCCATTTTGGCTTTTCCAGCTCTCTTTCTGGCATGGAGTTTTGTTTTGCTGCAGACTCTATTTAGAATTGGGATTTAGCTGCAAGTAGCTCAGAGGATTAAAGAGAGCTCTAACATTAATATCTGTCAACACCTATTTAGACACAATAAAATGACCACTTGGTTTGCACTCATCATTTAGCAATTTTCATTTTTCTCTTGGGCATTTTTCTCTCTTCCTTGCTACTGCTTGCATGTTTTTCCTATAATGCTACAAATAAATGTGACCATGGTAGTTCTGTGTGCTTAAATATAGAACTACTTACATCATATAGAAAAGAAGAGGTAGCATTTTAAAAACAACGGAATGTATGAGTAAGAAATATGATGCCACTAAAACTTGAAACTGTGTGTCAAGTCTAGCCTATTCATAATTCTTGAATTATGTCAGAGGTAGATTAAGGAGTCAACAGCTTGGGACGTTTGGTTGTGATGCAGTCTGATGAAGCTTGTTTCTTTAGAAAAGTTAAGAGAAGGGAAGGGAAGGGAAGACTATAAAAAACCTTTGATTACCTCAGTTTATGGTGAGTTTAAATACATTATTATTCAAGGTCTCATTGTGGAGAAATTTTGCCTGAACTTAAATGCCAGATGCTATCATGGAGAGAAAATGTCTGATCAGGATGAACTCAGTTTGCCCAGCAGTGAAGCACCTCTATTTGGTCACCAGTTTAGCTTTGGAGATTCTCTCCCACACTCCTTTCTTCTTGGCTGAGCTTGTATACCAGAACGGTACTCTTCATTTGTGCATTCATTTTAAAACAGGATAAAAACTAATGATGTACAAAATGAAAACTCTATCACACCCCTAATGATAATTTTTTTATAGATGATTGAGGCAGTTCAATGTTAAAGTATACAGAACTGTCACCATCATTAGTTCATCTCTTAGATCATGACATGTCTGGATGGCAACTCACTAGGTGATGTGTTAGTCTCACAGCTTCCCTTCTTGATAACATATATGTATAAAATGAATAACAGGAATATTCTATACCTACCAATAGTATTGTTGAGGATGTACTGCAATATGGTCTATGTATTTTTAT